GGGGGATACTCACCTGCCTGGCCTTTCTTCATAATTAAGCATTCATTTTTATAAATAAAACACAGACATATGTCCATAAATGAGTTGAATGACTGTCACTCTTTGATTATAAAGGCTTTGCAGAGATACTTMTGGTGGCTTTTGGCCAAATAGCCCTGATTTTATCACTCAGATTAAAAATTGTGATTTTTTTTCCAGGTAGGTCAGTGCTTTGTTGGCCAAGCCGAATTGTTAAACATCTTTCCAACTGCAAGGCATTCAAGTTCCGTGTGGCCAGCACCTTCCTGTCTCAAGTTATGGCTAAAATGGTCTGTTTTCAAGTAGAGTTCTCTGCAGTGATTGGAGGTCTGTTTTTGTGCAATCACGTATGTGATCATGTGCAAAAACGTAGCAGCAGGTTGAAACACAACGAAACAGTAAAAAGAAAGCCACAGAAGGTGTTTAGAAGAAAGACAAAGGAGTGAAATCAGGCCTGTTCTCATGTACCAGGTCAGTGATCGGTTTCCCCGGGGGCAGCTTCGGTCGAGACGATGGGCGAGGAGGAGGAGGAGGAGGGACCGGGCTGCCTCGGGACTGAGGACGAGCTGGAGATGAAGGACCTGTGGAACATTTCAGAGTTAACATTAAATCATATGAAACAAACCTTAACAAGACGAGGTTTTTAAGTTGTATTCTTAAAAAACTTCTGCTAATTGTTGCCAGATTTAAGTATAAATGTTGTTTTGTCATTCTGTGAGTGAAAACAGGAAACCTCTGTTTGTGTGTGGCCTCTAAGTCTTCGGGCAGAACCGCATTAAAACAAATTTTAAATACAGTGAACACTTGTGATCACATGTCCATGTTTCTGTTGGCTTTTTGTGAAAAACACAGTCCAGTTCTTTGGGATGAAAAATATCATTCTTTTGTGTTCTTAGTGGAAACTTTCATTTTTGAGACATGAATGTGTTTCTGAAATGAAATCATCCAAATTAAAAAAGTCTTTCCCAATGAACCATCTGAGGAAACTATATTTGTGTACAGCGGTACATTTGATGCATCCTAAGTGAGTCCTGTATAATGAGATGGRAATTCCACCCTTGAATGGAGAAAAGGCCAGTTTTTCAAAATAAACACTTTTTGATGTGTCTGCCCTTCTTAATCAAATGTAAACTGTGTTTTTGATGAGAAAAACTGAGATTTTTCTAACAACATCTCCAAAGTGGAGATTAACTATGTGTTCCATTCAAACTATTGAACTTTTTTAGAAATAATGCAATAACTTGCTAGGTGCTGGTCATGGCTTCACCACATTGTGTCCTGATATTGTAGCGAGCAGCCAATGTTTCCAACCAGTTGGGTACAAAATGGTTAMCATTTCACTCCCATGCACTTACCATATGAACTCACATGCATACTGTCCTGCATTAATGCACATGCTTGCAGAGCTACCAGCTCCACCCAACCTGCACAGGATTATTGGGCCTCATGCAAGAACATGTTCGTATTCTTATCCTAAATTTCTCTTACTTTTGTTCGTATGAAGGGTTCGTACGAACATGTCACGTCATATTCAACAAACTCTTCTATCTTCAGGAAAAGTGTGTAAATGAGCTGCGTAAAATC